CTGGTACAGGCACTATGGAAAACAGTATGGAGATTTCTCAAAAAGTTAGATATAGAAATACCCTATGACCCAGCCCATCCCATTACTGGGTATCTATCCTAAGAACCTGATAACAGACATCTCAAGAGTCCGTTGCACCCCTATGTTCATCGCAGCATTATTTACAATAGCCAAGACGTGGAACCAGCCTACTTGCCCAGAAACTGATGATTGGATAAAGAAGATGTGGTATATATACACAATGGAATACTACTCAGCCATAAAAAAAGACGAAATTGGCCCATTCACAACAACGTGGATGGACCTCGAGGGCATTATGTTAAGCGAAATAAGTCAGTCAGAGAAAGACGATCTCTATATGACTCCACTCATAGGTGGAAATTAGTATATTGAGAAGGAGATCTGATCGGTGGTTACCAGGGAAAAGGGGGGGTGGGGGGAGGGTACGGAGGGGGAAGTGGTGTACCCACAACATGACTAACAAAAATGTACAACTGAAATCTCACAAGGTTGTAATCTATCATAACATTAATAAAAAAAAAAAAAAAAAAAGAAAAGGATAGACTAAACATTGGTAAAAGACATGTATAAAAGATAGCTGATGAAGCTGTGAGAGAGTTCTCAGTTAATCTAGTCCTTGGGCCCAGTGGAATTATTTTCCAGAAAACTTAGAATTCCTGACTGGACAAACTTGCAAAAGAGATTCCTCAGCATCACTGGATATTCCTTATGGTGGAGAGCAGGAGAGGTGTGGATAGCCTAGAGCTGATTCATTTCCTGCTTTGCAAATCAGGAGGTAGTGCATTTCCCAAATTGTAAGCCAGTAACCTTGGTGTTAATTTAGGGAGAAATTTTAACACAAATATACTTAAATGGATTTGTTGCATACACATAAAGAAAAGCTATGATCACTCAAGCCCAATGTGAATTTTCCAAGTTCTGGTGGATTTATTTCATTGATACTCTCTTGATACTCTTTATACCCACTTTTCCCTACACATCTGTACGCTCACAGTACTCCTTGTATGATATCTCTGCTCAAATGTCTTTGTATTGATAAGACCTTCCTTGACCATCTACATATCAGTTAGCAACCTCTCTCCCATTACATATTCTCCTTATTTTTATTTTTTCAATTGCACGTGTCACCATCTAATACATATATTTTCTCTGTAAACAATAGACTGTGGTCTCCATGGGAGATGTGCTTGTATCTGCTTTGTACACTGTCACATAAATGCATCTAGACAGGATCTGCTGTTCAAGGCATGAATGAATATATTTGCTCTTTCAATTTATCCTGTCATCCAGTCCCATGGCCACTCATTTTTCTCATTTTGTTTTCACTTCCTCATCCACCTAGAAGTATGACGGACAATTTCACTGTTGGTTTTACCAATACTAAATAACAGTGCCAGTAACATTGCCATTCTTGCTTCTGGTCCTTTTGCTGTGCCCATTCTGTAAAAACCTAATACTGGGTCCATTTGGGCACCCACTTCCTCCATTCCTACACCAGAAATGTAGAGACAACAGAGATGCAGAAACACCAGAGATACAGAGAACCGCTGGAGAAAAATCACGCAACTTTTCATGTTGGTAATAATGTCAATTAATGGTCTGACACTTAAGCTAGACCCTCACTGCAGCCAAAACACTTCTCAATGGTGCTAGTCAGTTCTTTTTCTTGGTTCCCTTAGAATTTGGTTGAAATTTTCCCTACATTCCTTAGGTCGCCAACCCAATTGCCTTCCCACTGACTCTGAGTTTGTGTCTTCATTTCTTTCTTCCCAGAGGCAGGATCTCCGATAACGTGTTGCCTCCCTGAATCCCCTTACAAGCTTCCGTAACTACATCTATTCCTGTGACTACACCTCTTCCCTTGAATCTCACTTGTGAGGAGTTTCTCCTCTTAATTCAGCCAAATCCTCCACTTGGGCTCTGGATCCCATCCCCTTCTCTCAACTCAGGGTTTTGACTTTATCAGGCCCTACTCTTCTGTGTCTTCAACCACTCCCTCTCTTTGACTCCTTTCCCTTGGCAAATAAACATATTCAGCTCCCCTTACCCTATCTTATAAACAACACTCACTATCAGCCCCAAATGCTCAGACAACTAACTTCTCTCTGTCCTTTTACAGACAAGCACCTTGACTCTCTAGTCTACACTTGCTATGGTCACTTCCTCCTCGTTAACGATTCTGGTGCTGGCTGTCTTTAGACTCTATTTTAATAATTATAATAGCTACCATTTACTCACTGTTTACTATGTATCAGGTGCTCTACTACACAGTGTAATATGCATTACTTCATTTTAATTTCTTAACAATCCTTTAAGGTAAGTATTACAATTCCCATTTTACAGATGGGAAAACTGAGGTTTTGAATGGCTATCTAACTCACCTAAATGGTTAGCGATGGTCCTAGGTTTTAAATCTGGACAGTTCAATGCTAATTATCCCACCATTACCAACTGCATAATAATATGCACACTTTGAGAAAGACTGTTCTACATCAATGTATCTATCTTAGTCTTGAGCTCCTTTATATCCCACTGATGTGACTGCCTTTTCCAGTCACCTGCAGGCTTGCTTGACTCCTCTGGTCTTTTCAGTATTTCTTCACTGCACCTGGATCACTGTTTTTGGAGTTTTCTTTGCTGGACCTTTTTTTTTTTTTTTTTGCTTCATCTGAGGTATTTTGTTATTTATCTGGCAAATCTGGCAAGGAGGTTTCTCTTACATTTTCCATAAAAGATAAAAGAATATTTATTCTAAGAAATCTAAAGAGTTTTCTTTACAAGGGTACTGAGAATATTAAATCTGGGTACTCTTTGCATTAAAGTTCAAGAAATCTACAAAGATGATTGAAAGTTAAAAAGACTATTTCTAAATCAAGATGATAGTTTGAGCACCAATGATAGATTGAAAACTTCCACCTCTGTATCAAACATATGGAAATGATAAAGAAAAAAAAATGGCTGAACTCAAAAATAAAAAGGCAAGGAAAACTCAGAGGATCAGAAGTGGAGAGAGGAGTCAAGCTGGTAGGTAGGAGTTGAAGCCAAGAAACCTCAAAATAAACTATTATAGGAAAAACAAAAGGGTGAGAGGATCCACAGAATGCAGGAAAGTAGATAAAAAGAAGCATAGAAAAATTGTGGTAAATATAAAACACATAGCTGAATGTCATAAATAAGTCCAAATATGTCAGCAATTGCAATAAATACATTGAAAATGAAGATACTGAGATTGCATTTTTAATGATGCAGGTATATGCTCTTTAAAGAGACATATCTAAACCAAAATGACACAGAAAGGTTGAATGTAAAATGATGAAAAATTTATAACAGAAATAACCCACTGAGAAGATATAATAATCATGTATTTGCATGCACCTAACAACACACTATGAAATATAAAAAGCAAAAGTTGATAGAATTAAAAGAAGAAATCAACACACAAAATAGTTGATACAAAGAAATAGTAAAAAAGAAAAGAAATACTAAATAGAAAGATTTGAGTAATATAATTAATAAGATTGATTTAATGGACAGATAGATAGATAGATAGATAGATAATGGATAGATAGATAGAGGAAAACTGATACGAATGACAATTTATAAAAAGGAGGCTGCCCTGATGTGCACCAGCTGAACACCAGCCCTCCAAACAATCCTAAAGGGAAATCGATGAAAGACATGTGAACACAGAATAGTCCTCTCTCAGAAAAAAGAAAAAAAATGAAATTTGAAATGAATGTTTTCCTTCAAGCAGGGAATTAGCTTTAATTAAAAGAATAGTGAAGCCAATTGCTTGAAATTATAATATTTTAGGTTGAGCCATGTGAAATGGCCATTTTTATAAGTGAAAGATGGTCCAAAACTGACAGTTCCATGTGGTTCAACCTCTATATTCTTCATTTATCCATGGTATTGTAAATTGCTAACATATACAGAATATTTCAACCTGTGGATCTGGAGACAGAACTTGCCTACTCACTAATGGGCTTGAAACTAGTTTTCAAATAAGACTAAAACTTGATTCTACTCAAATATATACGGCAGTTTTAAAGAGCTATGTTTTCCCGGAATTCAATATAAAAAACCATTTTACGGCTCACCAAAAACATAATTCTTTGCCAAAAATTGTGAAATATGCTTGGATGATTATTAAAAGTCTAAAGTTGAATGAGAGAAAATCTAATTCAACTTAAATTGGTTGGATTTACTAACAGCTTTTTTTTTCATTGTACACCCACCAAAATCATCTTCTTTGTATCATTACACTATAAAAATTCCAGTAGATTTGGTTTTTGAAATAGCATCACTGTTGGTGCCCTTAACTTTAAAAGCCTCTCACAAAGTTTAAGAACAATCTTAAATAGAACACAAGTGCTCAGACAGTTTCTAAACACTGTATTTTGACAGATTATTTTAGCAAATCAAAAATGAAGAAACCAAATAGTCAATAACAACGGAAATTTCTTAGTTTTTATTCCTATTTTCTTCCCTTCTTTACTCTCTGCCTTCCTCCCCTACTCCCCCTTTCCTTCCCTTTCTTCAGTCTTGAAGCTAATATTAAAAAGTGTTAACAATTATTAACACTGATTAATAGCAGTATGACTTGGTCTTGTACCTTAATATGTTTTTCACATTTCTCTAGAAAAAGAGAAATAAAAAGAAAAATGTTTTTACCTTTTCCGCCTTTACAGTGAATCACCACAATGTTTCTTTTATCCTCAGCCATCCACTCAATGACTTCCTTCGAAAGAGTCAGCATCTCTCTGATTTCAAACGTAAAATTTTTAGTTGAATTAAAGTACTTCAAAAAAATTGAGCTCAATTCATTTAGCCCTCTTCTGACAGCCAACTTGGCAAGAAACTTACTTTAGAGTGGGCACATTGTGATCATCAATCATGACTCGATGGACCCTGTGGTGGAAATGCTTAGGATTGTAAGATCTTTCACCTAAAATAGATGATGCATGGGTCATACCTCTATATCTAATAAACAAAGTAAATGATCAAGTTATGAATAAGTTATGCTTTTCTGTTAGAAATTCCTTATTCACCTTTAAAAGGAGCTTTCTGACTGGCTCCTCCTGCTCTAAAAGAAACTTAAGGGTCTCAAAAATATAAGGACAGTAGTGGTTTGTCCATCTTGAGTAACCTAAGTTCAACCTATTTTGGTTTGCTTAATAGGACTTACTTTTAATTTTCTAGCAGGCTACTCATTACATTATTATAGGGTAGTTAAGCACCACAGAGCAGAAGCAAATGTGGTCGACCAAAATGTTTGCCTCCTGAAAATGATAATTTAATGTACAGGAAGAGGAGAAAATCAAGAAAGACAAAGTAGTAAGCTGAGATATAATCTGTTTTCTACACCGTTTTCTTTTTTTTCTGTGTAGGGCCCTGCTCTCCTCACACCCCACTCCTAGTGGGTTAGAGAATGAATTTGTTGAATTATCTGTCTTCAAAACAGGAGCTGGCAGGAAGAACAGAAATATTTTCTTCACCTAAAACCACTAGAGCATACAGACTCCTAAAATGGCTCCGCCTCTACCCCAGCCTCCTGTCTCGCTCACGGGGCACTTCGTGCTGTTGAGCTATCTTTTCCCACCAAATAGGGCCAAGAGCAAGATGGAGATTTTTTAACTCACTTCCCACCACTACCAAATACTTATGACTAAATGAAACGTAAAAACTGAATCGTCTTCTTACATGCAGTGATTGTTTTCTATCTATAGTAGGAAAATATCTAGTTAAGTACGTACTGCATAGATTGTAGACTTGGTAGTGGTTTCGATGCTTGGTGTCCAGGAACCGCACAACTTCCTAAAATCGATGGACACATATATTACATATATCCACATGGCACCAACATAAGCCACTTCCTAGGAGTAGCCTGAAATGGTTATTACCTTTTATTCCCTTGTCCCTCACTTAGCACCTTTTAGGGGAGATTCAGGGACTATAAGAGTATGTGCATTCCAAATCACATCTAACCCACTGATAGTTTTCAAATAGCCCACAAGGTTGTGCTTGACTACCCTGATTAGCCTCTACTATAAATACACATTGTTTAAAGATACCAGACAAGGAAATTAGCTGGTTGACTAGTTTTAAGTGAATTTATTCCTACTCATTAATTCGCAGTACTATATGATTCTTATCTAGATCTAATTCTACATAGATATGTATTTTAGATAATGATCTGGATTTTACCATCTACCTAAGCATTACTTAAATAAATAAATGCAAAAAATGTATGTATGATTGTGTGCATGTGTGTGCATGACAGAAAAAGATAAACACATTATGTCAAATTTTAGATAAATGGTAACAATATGGAGAATTTCTTGGCTCATCTGTGTTTTCTTATTTTCTAAAATGAATATATATGTGTGTATGTGTATATATGTGTATGTTATACACACATATATGTATATATGTATAACTAAAAATAATAAATAGTGGTTATTATTTAAAATACAGTTAATATCACCATACTAATACAACAATATTTCCAGCAAACTTATCCAACTGCAACACACACATGTGCATGTATCTCTGCCAAAAACAAAAGTGACTGTAAAAAATGTCAAAAATTGATTAGTACAGTACCCTTATAGCAATGTTTACTGGCTTAATATTGAGAAAAAGAAAAATTAAGGTATCAAAATGATCAATTTGTTAAATTGGTTATCCCTGTCAGGAGGAAATAATAAATCAAAAAGAGAAACACTCTGAGTCTGCATAGCACTGTGGTAGGGGGGATAAATAGTCTTACAAGTGTCAAAAATGTGTGGGATCCCTACACCAAGATAAAATCCAGATGGACTGAGGTATCAAATATAAAAAGCCACAAATATCTCTAAGAAATGTAAATGAACATCAATCAATTCTTTGGATGAGGAAGAACTAAGGATTATCAATGGAAGATCAACAGATTTAGGTTTGACTTCACAAAAATTTGAAATTTCTGTTTAAAAAAAGCCACAGTACAACAAACAAATGACAGGAGATTCTTCAGTAAAATTGAGAGAATAAGGACTATGCCTAGTGTAATCTATAAACTAGTTATAGTAGTACAAACTAATAACACAGTAACAACAATTTAAAGATTACTCTCTCACCCTATAGATAAATAGGCCATAAATAAAAGTGTCAGTTCACAAAAGAGAAAATCCAACTGGCTAACAACCTACAAAGATAAATATTTAGCCTCACCAATAAAGATGCCAAAACAGTAATGAAATGCCATTTTCACCCATAAAATTAGCCTTTCCTTTTTAATGAGAAGACCCAATGCTGGCAAATATGGCATGAAAATTCCTTGCAGGCCAGTTAATAAGTACATTTCAAGAAAAGAAAATTGAAGGTTAATATCTCATTAGTATGTACAAAAATTTCTAAATAAAATATTAGCAAATAGAATCTAATGATATATTAAAAAGGATAATATATTAAGACCAAAGGGGGTTTATTCCAGGAATAGAAAATATTGTTTTAATATTCGAAAATCTCAATGGAATAAGAGAAAAACATTTTGATTATCTCAGTAGATGCAGAAAAAGTATATGATATATTCAGCACCGATTGATGATTAAAAACTCTTAGCAAACTATAAATAAATGGAAGTTTCTTAATCTGGTAAAGGATAGCTACAAAAAGCCTCTAGAAAATATCATTCTAATATTGAAATAGCTAATTCTTTCTACCTAAATTTGGGAACAAGGCAAGGCTGTCTACTCTTACCACTTCTATTCAACATTACATTGGAGGTCCTAGACAGCTGAATAAAGAAAGAAAAAGAAATGAAAAGTACAAAAAGTGGAATTAAAGTAGTAAATTACATGATTATGTATGTAAAATATCCCAAAGAATATACAAATTAATTATTAAAATAAATGCATGAATTTATGAAGGGTGCTGGAAATACATACAAAAATCAGTTATAGTCCCAGCAAATAATTAGAAAATGAAAATTTAAAAATACCATTTAAAATAGCATCAAAATCCATCAAATAGGGATAAAGCTAACAAAAGATGTGCAAAGCCTGTACAGTGAAAATACTGCTAAAAGAAATTAAAGAAGACCTAAATAAATTCAGAGATATATTATGTTTATGGGTTGCAAGACTCAATATTTTTAGATGTTGATTCTCCCCAAGTCAAGCTATGTAGTCAATGTCATCCAAGTTAAAATACCAGCAGGGTATGTGTGTGTGTGTGTATGTGTAAATTAACAAGCTGATTCTAAAATTTATATAGAAATTCAAAGGACCTAGGAAAGTCAAGATAGTTTTAAAGAAGTACAGGTTTTCTGGGTTGGTGAGCAGGTGGAAATGCTCACCTGAGAAAAGTGAGAGAAAAGGGAGCCTGGAGAGGGTTTAGAAGCTTTGTGCCCCTTCCCCCATGCATTGCCCTATGCATCTCTTCTATCTGGCTGTTCCTGAGTTGTGTCCTTTTCTAATAAAGTGGTAATCTAATCACCAAGTAAATAAACATCAAATGAAGATGCTGTGGAAGCTGAGGAGCATGAGGTAAAAAGACTCAAGTTTGACAAAGAAGGAGAAGTCAGAGAGATGGCCAAACAACTTCAAGTGAAATTTCTTCAGTTATGATAGAAGAAACAAAATCATCTTCATCTAAGAATAAAGACAAACAAAGTAGTTGTATCAGGCAGCACTGTACAGAGGAGGATGAAGAGGCAGAAGAGAGTCTTTAATGACATCAACAGAAATGATCCCAGAAAGAAAAAAGTCAAGAAAAAGAATCTGATGCCTTAACTAACTGTGAATGAAGAGACTTCTGAGAAAAATAACCAAATGGAGGAATCTCATTGGTCTCAAGCTGAGAAAGATTTACATTCTGAAGGTAGTGCAAATATAAGGCCCTGTAAGTAGCGACTGTGACTGCCATGAAACAGAAGAATTAGTAGGATCCAATACCAGTAGACATGGAGAGATTCTCTCAGAATCATCCATGGAAAACGATGATGATGCCAGAGAAGTCACTGATGAACCAACAGAACAAGACTATTGGAAACATTTAGATGCAGTATTTTACATACAGTTCTAGTTTTATACTGTATCAAATTCCTATGTAATAAAGTGGAGGTTTAGTTTTACAAGAGAAGTAGGTTGTAAAATAAAGTACTTTATGGGATACATCCTGAGAGAGTTGTTCATATAGGAACAGTGAATTATCAGCTCCTCTGGGTCCTGCTTATTATTGACAATTTTTGGTGGGCGGAGTCTGGTTAATCAGTGGTTTGTGTATAGATTTTTTTAAATTTAGAATTAAAGTTTTTAAATGGGAAGGTAATAATTACAATTTTTAAACTTTGAGGACAGTATCACATTTAGTTTTACATACGCAAGAAAGCTTTTTGTCTTGTCTTTTTCTGACAGCTCTAGAAGTTTTCCTATTTTGGTCATAGTTTCAACATTTTACCATGTGAATTATAGGGTTTTGTGGTAGTTATATATTATTTATATTTATAAATATACATTACATATAATTCATCTCTTACAGAAACAGAAAATATAAAATTTGCCTCCTTAGAATAATATTGTACATTTACATGTAATCTATTATACAGGGTATATTATATCACACATATAATAACATATTATATAATATAACGTGGGATATAATACATATTATAATAAAATAATAAATAACATATATTATGTTATGTAATATGATTAAGTACAATTATATTTATATAATATATACCATATAATATATTATATATAAAATACATAATTTTAAATACAAATATACGTATATTATTCTAAGGGAGGCCATTTATATTTTTATCCTTCTATAAGAGATGAATTTATATTATTATATAAATTATATATATTTATAAATGGAATAATATATATGTATATATAATATGCATTAAATTTTTTACCTGAAAGAGTATATTTTTAGGAGAATACTGCCACCTACGTGTTATAAGTTATATTAAATTTATAACTCCATAGTCTGTTTACTGAGAAAAATGAGCATTTGTTAGATAAATACCCTTACCTTAATGGGATTCCTATAGAAAGAGTGTTTTCCAGAAGATGGGAATGACATGGCAATAATACGCCCTGGAAGTCAAAATAGTCACTATTACAGATGTTATTATACATGTGAAACAATAAATGAGAACTTAATTTACATATAATCAGACTCTTTTTTCATAAAAAAGAAATTTCAGGATTGAGAATGACAAAAAAGCTAACTAACCCTCAGAATAATCAACATAACATATTAAAATATCCAATATAATGACCACTAAACTCACACAGTGCTCCCAAGACTCAACTGCTTCCAGCCAAATGCAACAGATTTTGTTGATCTCAGTCTGGAGCTGCCCCCATGGTGAGAATTTCTTATCTGAACACTAAAGAAAAAGGAGAGATCTGGGATCCAGCAATCGTGGGAACTCCCAGGGTGCTCCAGTGCTCCTGACTCAGAAACCTGAGACCTACAAAGGGTTCCAGCAAGAGAACAGGTCTCTCTGAGATCCTTGAGACCCAGGATAACTATTAGAACTCAACAAATTCTAAACCAAACAAATGGAGTCAGCTGAAAATTCCTTCAACTCCCTGTACTGTAACCAAGTAACCCTGATTTGGGATGAAATGGAGATTTCCATTGTCAGGGTTAAACTACAAATATGTCACACTACCATGTGGTAGATGTCTTCACAGATAAAGAATGCTTTAGACAAGGTAAGAACCAAAATAAACATATAATTACCCACACACAAGAAAAATGTGAAGTTAATGTAAGTAAATCAACAGTTAAACTTCACAAACCAGTAATGTAAGTGAGGTCTAAGTCAAATCCATCTTTCCTGTATCGCCGTTTGTTTCCTGAAACCTGAGAGTTTAAAACAATCATTAATTTGTAAAATATAAATCAACATAAAAATAAAGAAGATTATATACATATCTATAACACTCGCCAGTATTTCCCGAAACACAAACATTTTTCTGAATCACAAACATGTTTTGCCCACTTACCATCCTTCTGGTCAGTATTTCAAGATGTCTTTTTTGGTAAGCCAGATGAAAAACTCTCATCAGAATGATAAGTCGTAGAGGTCGAAATATAATTGCCAATCTAACAATAAATTTTAAAGATCCATTTTTACTTCAGAAATAGAGGATTTTGTCAATATGGACTAAGTCTTGAGCAGTGATTCTTAACCAGGGGCAATTTTGTACACCCCACCTATCCCCAAGCCTCTCACCCACTTACCCAAGGGATATTTGGCAATGTCTGGAGGCATTTTTGGTTGTTGTAACTGTGTGTGGAGGGGGTGCTACTTGCATCCAGTGGATAGAGGACAGAAAAGCTGCTAAACACCAATGAACAGGACAGCTTCCATAACAAAGAATTATCTGGTCCAAAATATCAATAGTGCTGAGATTGAGAAACTCTGGTCTAGAGAGATAGCTATATGATGGATGCTTAGAATTTGTGGATTTAACTTTTGTAGCTTAAGATGAGCATTTTTCAATCTTTTCCCCATCAAACAAACTGAGGGTTCTTGTTCACCTGTGTTACTCCCATCAGTAACAGAGGTTACTACACTACTAACACACATCAGGCAGGCAGTAGATTGAGATACTTCCCAAGTGTGCTAGCTACTGTCTCTCCTGCCATCAGAAAAAAAACACAATGGCAGAGAACTGATGGTTTGGACTAGTGCTTCTCTAACTTGAGTGCACACACTGATTCAGTAGGTCACTGGGGCCTGCGGTGTTTTCCTTCTTGCATTTCTAGCTCTTAGATGATGCTGAGGTTGTAGGTCAGAGGACCATACTGGCTCCAGCTATTTTCAAACAACTCCAAAAGCCTATCGCATAACATCAAGTTTCACTAGCACCTGAATTGAAGTCCTGGGAAGCTGGAGTGCAGAAAGAAGCAAGCTATTAGACTAATAAATAAGCCTAATGAGCCACCCAACATCTACATCCCAGTACGCATTTGTTCTTCTTTTCCTCATCGCCAAAGTAGAAAGAAGAAAAGCCATCAGTTCTTCATACACATTTTAGTTTCCTGATCCCCAACAGTTCTGATTTTGCCTCAGCTTTCTTCATTCCAATGATACTGCAAAATTCCACCTCTGTGTTGCTATCCACGTCACCTGGTTTTCTGTTCCATTTGCTTTTTGAGAGAATTATCATTGGAGTCACTCAAGTTTTGCATATGCTCAAACCAATACTCTCTTTGTTATAGGAAAAACCCAGGAATTTCATGTGTAAGGAATTTGTGATTGAAGCTTAAACGGGAATTTAGTGGGAATTTCAAAGTATAGCGAAGTTAAAGTTAGTACAAGAGGCAAAGTCCCCAGTTTCTTCTTTGAGTGCTCCATCTTCTTCATTCAACCAAAGGTACGTAGTGCGTACACCCTTCATGGATCCCTAAATACCACCAGCCTTTAGTTTCTAAGTATGTGGAAATTTATCTAAACATTTCATTTTCAAGCAGCTTATCTGGCATAGAATCATCACATTCAGAGTTAAAAGATTATACAAAATGAAATCCATAGAAAACGCAAAAAAAAAAAAGACAGTTTAAGAAACGTGAATCATGTCTCTTACCTGGGGATATCATTAAAATAACTGAAGTCATAAAAAATGTAAATTATATCAATCAGTAGAGTCAGCAGAATAATGACAGCATCTAAGGAGTTAAGTAAATCAGAGAAATATCGTTGCATCCTATAATGTAAAACAAAAAATACAAGTTTATGCTCCCCCAAAGAAGAGACAGGGAAATTTTAAAAGCAAGAATTATTTGACTCATCTCCATTAACAATTCTATTTTAATGAATTATCTAAAATGCATTTACTAGACTAGACTAAGAGAAAAGTATTCATATTCATTATTTTATACATATATATGACAAAAGCATAAATATTGCAGTTTAAGTTCAGTTAAGAGATATAACCAAACCATCAAACAAGAGGCAAGCAATGCCTTCACATAGGTGGGAGAGAAAGGTGGGATGTTGGAGAGTACTATTGGGCAGTGGAAGCTGAACATGTCACAGCCTTAGAGCAACTGCGGCTGTGAGGAGGGCAGAAGAGGAGCTTGTGAGAGGCAGACAGGTCCACTATTTTGGCCTGCGAACTCATCATCTGGCTTTGTACCTAGAGTGGAATCCCAATGGGCTGGTATGGCCTCCCCTGCAAAAGCTGAACTTGCACCCACTGCACCTTCCTCCCCCAACGCTGGCTCCTTCAGCTGTGGGCACTGGTGATCCGCGGGAAGGTTCTAGGGTAGCTTCCACTTCTAGGGTAGCCCCTTTCAGGCTCTGAGTAACCCGGAGTGGGCAACTGTCCTTAGCTCAAAGCATGAGGGTAGAGTTCAGGAGGAGAGGAATCAAGCTGCCTTCTGAAAGGCTCTGGATGAAGTGAGGCCAGGGAACTTAGTCTCTGACTTCCACAGCAGTCCAGCTCTAAGGCTTGGCTTACTCCATCCACCTTCTCAGAAAGCCAGCAGCGGAGAAAATCAACTGCTGCCTCACTACTAAGCCTCGCTGACAGGATGAGCATGCCTCAGATCTCCTGTGTACCTTAACAAAAGTTTTTATTTTAACTGAGGTAGGGGATTGTTCATGATCTATTTTCTAGTATTTAATATGCCATCAGATTTTATTTAGATTCAATTCTTAATGAAAGTATTAATATTTATACTTCACATACATGTTCCTCTTAATAATGTGCATGTAGACACATCAGCTGCCTTGTCCCATTTTGCAAACCCATTAAGCTTTACCTGTTGAAGGAACCATCTAGAATACATTATTGGAGACTAGAGTGACAGTTACAACAAAAATATTAAAGCCCAATCTAGTAGAAATTGGGATGTGGATAGTTGTTTCTCTGGTGGACCGTGCCTTCGAGGAGAATTATTTTGATAAAGAGGGACAAATTTGGTTGTGTTGACCTGGTAATTACTTTGGGATGCTTCTCATAGCACTACAAAATAGCTTTATATGTTTTTAAAAAATTAATCAAACTTACCCTTCTACACATACTCGAAGAAGAACATCCATTAAAAAAAATAAAGCAATAGCTAAAGAAATTGAACGATATTCCAAAGGAATATACACTTTGCTATCAGAGATGAATTGATCTGCGATGATAAGAGACATGTCCACAAAGACGAGCAAGATTCCAAATATTCTAAAACAAACAAACACATAAATAAACAGAATAAAGATGAATTGGTTTTCACCTCTATAGTTAGACTACATTTAGCCCAGGGATCTGATACTAAAATGTCATTATTTAGGATTAAACTGTCAGTGGCAGGGAGAACTGTGTTGTCTTAGAATTTCAACAAAATTACTCAGTTTTCACCCAATGGAAGCATTTAGGAAAATAAAATTCCCACAAAACCACTTCATGTTATCATGCTCCTTTATAATAGACACATCAGACTAACCCTCCAACATAGAACTGTCAAACTGAATTAAAATTACTTATCTCTGCTTGTAAACTCTTCTTAAAATTCAAGAATTTATAAGAGGTCTCTACGAATTTCTCATAGTAAATAAAACCTCATTAGTCTTGATAATTATTAAGAATTTAGTAATAAAAACCAAGTGAAAGCATGACTAACATAAGCCCTAAAAAGACCACTTTGACCAGTAAGATTTTTCATCAGTGAGATTTTCAGCAAGTATATGATTACACATTAATGGATGTTTCTAGCATATGCTGGGCACATGAGAAGGACTTCAATTCCAAAAATATATACATGATTGAACTCTAAAGTAACTCCGAAGCCTTTCTCTTACGTATTCTAAACACATTATCCATAAATTGATTACACTATTTGTAGAATCTATGAAGATGAATTAATTAGTCTTCAAAGTACTTTTTTCCAATTGCAACACAAATTAAAATATTATAAATTTAAAAGGAAGCAAGTATATTGCGTGAAGCTGTATGATAGTATGAAATCTTGCCATCATGTGGAGAAGAAGCCTAAATAGAATGCTTTCAGAATTAAGGAGTAATTCGAGACAAATAAGGTATTTAATAAAACACTTTACTTGTAATTGTAGAATTTTAAAGTGCATGCATCATTATTTTTACTTTTCCAGGTAGGAAAAAACATACTAATATGTTACCATTAGACTTAGGGGAATGCCGTTTCTTTGCAATTCTTAATGTTCAGGTTAAACTAACCTTCCAAGATAAATTAGATTACATTATATGGGACACGGGGGCTATTTAGTAACATACTGACAGTGGAAATGCTTTTTTTCTCCTCCTAGATCCTTTCTCATTAAAACAAAATTCACATTAAATGGATACATATTTAATTACCTCTTTTTTTAGGGTCTCACATACCTGATTATGAAAGATGATACAATTAAGCGTATAACTTTCTTAATCTCTTGGCTGCAAAAAGAAGTAAAAATAAAATTCAAGAGTTTTCAAGTTTATCACAGATTTCTTCTAACATATAATATGAATTTAACCAATAAACAAAGGCCTTTATAAATATAATTTTAAAAGAAAATTCTTCAGAAGTTGCATAACAAGGTGCTTTTTACTAATAACTAAAATTTTCACATTTCTGCTTCATGATTTTTTTTTTACTTTCATATGTGGAATATGAATAAAACACCAAACTTTAGATGTCTAGTAACATTTCCTTTGCCTATAAAGCCCCAACCCCACCTTTATGGTAATATTAAGCTTGGCGTCATCAACTAAAGCAACATAGCGTGGAGATAGAGGGAGTGATAGGAGAGACCTGTGTTCCAGTTCTCCCATTCATGAGCTGTGGGATCCTGGGCAAGTCATCAAACCTTGGCCAGACCTATTTCCACAGCAATCAAAGAAGGGACTTCAGGCATGGGTAGGGAGCACCCATCTTGTCCTGTAATATTCATCTCTTGAAACAAGACATCCCATGAATATGACAGTTAAACATTAAGAGAGTCACATTTGGAGTTGCAAGTGCTCTTTGGAGGTAATTTAATAAGGAATTTTAATAAGATGCATTTCAAAGGAGAAATAACATACAGACTGGGCTCCTTCCATTAATAGGAGGAGGAAGAGGAGCCTCTTTGATGAACTCCACAGTTACGCCTCATTTTATCCTATGGCTAAAGACAAGGTAGCCACTGGGGTGCAGTTTCATGCCCTGCTGAAGCTTCCAACACAGGACACAAATTCCACTCCAAGTGGGATCAAGCCCAAGGCAGTGCTCATAGCCTGTGCCCAAGACTGAAGAATGGAGATGATGGATGAAGAACAGAACTAGGGCGCCACCAAAATTGGCCACGGATGAATACTCTTAGGCTAACCTGGGATGCAAGAGCTCCCCACTCCCTCTAATCTCTCCCTCCTTTACCTGCACCCACAACCTCTGCCCAGGCTTAGTGAGTTGAGGCTGACATGGATGGGAACTGATTGGCCAAAAGAGGTGAATTTCCCCCTGAGGTTACCATTCTCTTAATACAAGCCCTTTCTCAACCACACAGACTACTGGATCTCCAGATAGCAATGAAATGTTATAATAAATCTGAACTTGCCTGACAAAGTGAACATACAGAACCATGACTGACAGAATCATGGGGCACAAAGGTATGACTTAGGATGGCTTTAGGGCCTCCTATCACTTTCAGTGCCTCACAAAACTACCCCAAGTAAATATGCAATTGAGATTTTTTAAAAACAGTGTGCTATGTAAATGGAACTTCAAACAATATGTTTAGAGTTTGCAGGGAAAGGACTGTGACTCATTGACTCTATATCCAGGAAAAGTACTGTTCATATTTAGGAGCAACAGACAGATACTCTCCAACATGAAGCAACTCAAAGCATAGCAGCCACATACCTTTCCTAAAAACAATTACTCGAAGTGCTCAAGCCAACTGAGCAATGAGTCAAAAGGAAGAATGCAGGAGTAAGAAAGATACCTTATAGAGACAAGGTTAAGAAATTAAATCATAACAATTCAGAACTGTCTAAATAATCATTGTTAATGGAGCACATGGAACAAATGATTCTAAAAACAAAGATAATCTAAGATTCTTGATAATACCATGGACTTAAATTTGCAGGTTTTCTCACACAACTTAGGATTTAAGGTTTGTAAGAAGATAGAAGTAAAAGCAAGTCTCATTTCTTCTCTTTCCCAGGTACAAGTCTAGTGTTAACCTGGATACTGATGGAGAAACAAGGGCACAATTATGTTCTCTAAAAATAAGTTTATAACTTTCATATCATTAAAAATTGACAAGAATAAAAACAATGAATTAATAGCAAAATACAGAAAAATTTAAAGATAAAATATGAAGAGAATGTTTAACACAGAAAACAAAGGAAGATGATAGCAAATAAAACCTAAAATACCAGAAATGATAACAAATACAAGCACGTTACTGTCATATTAAATACTGGCAAATACTCTCAGATAAGTTTAAAAACTAAATGCACAATAGCTATATACAAGAGACAAAAACTAAATTAAAATGATAGTTTGAAAATAAAGAGATGGACAAAGATATGAGATGCAAACGTTAAATCTCAAAATATTAAAAGTTGTAATATTAATATCAAAGTTGAATTCAAAGTAAACATATTAACTATGACCAAGACATCTTATATTGATAGAAGGTAGATTCTATAGGACATTAACAAGGCCATGTTGAAAAGAGGTGAGATGTGTATTGGGGTCAGGTCCTGTCTTTCCCATTGGACGCTTACTTCTCTGTACAGATGCTGGAGAAGGCATGTGGCCATACTCAAAGCACTAAGGGCACCAGGGTGATTCTTTGGTCTTCCTGCTCTCACACTAGGGCTCTGGACTTTTCCCCCAAACTATCCACAACACACAAGGCTACATTCCCAGTTTATAGTGTAAACTCTGGTTGAAGAGAGCTGAGTCCGGCTTCAGATCTGATTCCAACCTAAGTTAGCTCATTAGAATTCTCTACCGGGGTTTGGAGAGGAAGCTCCAAAGTAACTAGGAGTGTCTTTTGCCTGGCTTGGTCCACAGGGTATGTACTTCCCTTGGGAGTATTGGTGGCAAAGATAAGATCTGAGTGTCTCTGGCCAAATACTATCTATTCTTAAATATATATATATTGAAATATAGAAACTTCTTGTGCAGCAAACACATACTTAAAGAATTCGTATGAAATATTTGAAGAAACTCATCCTGTAATAAGACAAAAAAACTTCAATGTACTTTAAAATATAAAAATTATGCAGGCTATATTTTCTGACCACAATGTAATAAAACCATTGCAGTGGGAGAATACTGACATACAAGATATTTAATCGCATTTTATCATTACAGAAATTAAAAAGGTGCCATACATGACAACTTAGATTAAATGGAGATATTGCCTGAAAGACATGAACTACTAACATTTGCTCAAGAAAAAATAGATAAGCTGAATAGTCTAAAAGATAATATACCTTTTAAGGAAATTGAACTTGTAGTTTAAAACTTTCCAACAACAAAAACTCCAAGCCCAATTTTTAAGTGAAGAAATAATACCAATTCTAAACAAACTCTTCCAGAAAAGAGGAAAAGAGGACTATTTCCAAACTCATATTAAGAGACCAGCATTACCCTGATTATTCTATCTTTGTTAGACCAGCCAAATCAGTAAAGATGTTACATGACAAGAAAATTACCAACCAACATCCCTCATGAATACAGATGCAAAAATCCTTAACAAAACGTTAGGAAATCGAATCCAGCAACATAAAAAAGAAAATGCATCATGACCAAGTGGTGTTTGTTCCAGGAATTCAAGGATGGTTCAATACTCTAAAATTAATGTAATTCACCATGTCAATAAACAAAGGAAAATAAAACATACAGTCATCTCAATAGATGTAAATTTTTTTTCCAAAAAATTTAAGGTCCATTCATAATAAAAACTTTCAGCAAACTAGGAATAGAAGGGAACTTCCTTAGCCTGACAATGGACATTTACAAAAATCCCATGGCTAATATCATTCCTAATGGTGAAAGACTGAATATTTTCTCCCAATGATTAGCAATCCAGGATGTCAGTTCACTATTCTTCTATTCAAAATTGTATTGGAGGTTCTAGTCAATGCAATAAGGCAAGAAAAGGAAATAAAAGGCGTATAGATTTGAAAGGAGAAATAAAACTCTATTTGTAGAAGATATGCTTGTCTACCCAGAAAATCCCAAGGAATCTACAAAGAAGCTAATAGAACTAATAAGTGAGTTTAATAAAGTTATCAGATAAAAGGTCAATAAACAAAACAATTATATTTCTATATACTAGCAATGAACTATTGAAAAATGGAAATTTAAGCAACTACACCATTTATATTAACACCAAAACCCACAAAACACTTTGGTGTAAATTAACGAAATATGTGCAGGATCTGTACACTGAAAATTACAAAACATGATTAAAGAAAAAAAGATTTTAAGGTAAGAGATGTACCATGTTCATAGATTAGAAGACTCAACATTGTTAAGATGTCACTTCTCCTCAAACCAAGCTATAGATTCAATACAATTTCTATTAAAAAATCACAGCACAATTTTTTGTAGATATTGATAACCTGATTCTAAAATTCACATGGAAAGGCAAAGTGATACCACTCCCTGATTTAAAGACTTACTATAAAGTTAAATAATCAAGACAGTGTGGTATAGAAGAAAGAATCGACACATAGAACAGTGGAACAAAATAGAGTCCAGAAATAGACTCTTGTACGTGGTCAACTGATTTTCAACAAAGATGCAACGGCAATTCAACAGAGAAAAAATAGTCTCACAAGAAATTGTAGTAGAATTATTGGACATACATATACAAAAGAACAGTCTTCAACCTATATCACACAACTACACCAAAACGAACCCAAAATGGATCCATGTACCTAAATGTAAAACCTAAAACTATGAAATTTCTAGAAGAAAACATAGGAGAAAATATTTGTGACCTTGGGTTAGAAAAACATATCTTAGACAGTACACCAAAAATCATAATCATGAAAGAAAAAATTGAATTTTATCAAAATTAAAAATTTCTGCTGTGTAAAAAAATAAACCAAAACAGGGACAAGCTACAGATTGGGAGAAAATATTTGCAAAATATTTATCTGATGAATTTGTATCCAGAACATATAAAGAACTCTCAAAACTCAACAATAAGGAAAAAGAATTTAAAAACAGACCAAAAACTTGGATAGACACTTCACCAAAGGAAATCAATGGATAGCAAGTAAGCATACGAAAAGATGCTCAACATCATTGGTCATTATGAAAATACAATTTCAAGTCTCAGCGAGATACCTCTACTCACCTATTACAATGTCTTAAAAAACAAAGTGAAACAAAACAGACGGACAATACGAAGTACAGGCAAGGATGCAGAGCAACCAGAACCCTCATACATGTGAAACAGTACAGCCATTTTGGAAACTA